ATCTGAACCTGTGGCCTTGGTGTTATCAGCACCACACTCTCCCAAGTGAGCCATGGGCCAGTCCTATCATTAGTCTTTTTATTATTGAGTTGTAAGAATTCCTTATATACTTCAGATACTAGACTTAATCTGATGCAATTTGCAAATATTTTCTCCCATTCTGTAGGTTGTCTTTTCACTCTGTTGATAGTGCCCTCTGAAGCACAAAAGTTTTAAGTTTTGATGAAGTACAATTTATCTATTTTTTTCTTTAGTTGTTTGTGCTTTAGATGTCATACCTGAGAAACAATTACCTAATCCAAGGTCACAAAGATTTCTCTCTATGCTTTCTTATAAGAATTTTATAGTTTTAGCTCTTATATTTAGTTCTTCAATCCATTTTGAGTTAATTTTATATACAGGATAGAATATTAATCTTTCCTCACATTTTGTTTTATCTTTCATGATTTTAAGTGTATTTGTTTTATAGTTCCCATTTGACAATTCTATGACCAGAGGTTTATGGAGTCTAAACCTCCTGTTCATTATATCTCCTGACATTTGTACACAATAGACTGTTTGTTTCCTCATGCGTTTTGTTACCTTGGATTGTAGTTTACCTAGGCAGTGCTTTATTGGTGGGAATGCTGTACACCCAGGGGTCAGGGAATGTCCCTACAGGATGGATTTACATCTTTGTCAAGTGCCTCTGGATGTTAATTAGGCCAGAATCCCCTTTTGTATTCATTTCTTGGCTCGGTGATTTCTAGACAACAAAGGCAGTGTTAGATTGACCCCAAATTCACATGACGGTAGGCCTGTGGTTACACTGTCTCAAGGGAAGACTGTTTTCCTAACCCTCAAGGGCTGGCAGAGACATTCCAACTTCTCTGCCTTGTTTCTGTGTTCCAAGTTGGGTTTTTTCTAGTACCTTCATCTCTCTGGAACTGTCCTTTTTCTAGTGGCTTTATTTCAGGCTGGTGACTTAGTTCTAAACTCTGACATGGCTCAGGCCCAAGACTTTCTCTCAACTCAGTGTGGCCATTAAAACTCAGTCCCCATGGGCCAGCCTGTGACTCACTTGGGAGAGCGTGGTGCTGACAACACCAAGTCAAGGGTTAAGATCCCCTTACTGGTCATCTTTAAAAAAAAAAAAAAAAAAATCAGTCCCCAGGTCAGCAGACCCCAGCCTAGCACCCATGGTGTGGTCCTTCCCACTTGTTTAGTTTTGTTAAAACTGAACTAAAATTTGCTATGATAGAATAAGTATTTTCCTGTATTAAAATTTTGGAAGTCTGGCTACCTGGGAAGGTCATGAACAAATGCATTCATATTTGCCCCTTTGTGTTGTTCTGAGAGCTTTTGGGAGTAGCAAGAAGCCTAGGAAGTGGTTCTTACAGCCCTTTTCTCTAACCATTCCACAACTTGAATACAGCATCTCTACCCCAAACCACTCCAACCAGCAGGCTTTCCCACTTTAACAGTAGGTCTGAGAAAAGGCCCCACCCAGGGTCTTGAAGCCATAGTCAGCTCCTGGCCGGCCTCTCCCATCTCTCACTGTGATGATGACAATTTCTTAGCACTCTTCTTCACGTGCTCACCCCACAGCCCTCACCTTCTACTCCAGGGAGGAAGAACAGGCCCAGGCATGAGCTGTCCCAGCTTCCCTCCGTGCCTAAGCCCATCTCACATGATGGGGCCCAAAGCCACTGGGCTTCCTGCTGCCCACATCCAGGCTGGCACTCTCCACCTTCATCCTCCTAGCAGTCATCCTGGACAGCCCTCTCCTCCCCCTCTATGACCTGGTACCACCAGGATCTGTAGGGCGAAACACTTCTCATATCTGGCACTGTTCTTCCCAGACACTCTTCCCCTCTGGATGCTTTGCTTCCTAACTGGTCTTGCTGCTCAGTCTCCTTCTCTTGCAATTTGCCCTCACAGTTCCCTCAGAGGAGGGACACTCAATGTTTGGCGCATGCCTCCACAGCCATGACACCAGAACCCAGAAGTGGGAGGCTGCAATAACACAAGACTCCATGCTGTGACAGTTATCAGTTGTGTGATAGCGTCTGGCTAACTTTGGGCACCACTGCCTACTGGAGCCATCTTCCTAATATACAAGTCCCAAAACCTTCTGAGTCCTCACTCTGGGGAAAAGCCTAGACTACCCGGTTTAGCACACAAACCCAGGCTTTCTCCTCTCTTTCCTTCCCCTCTTCAGGGGCTCGGGACTCCGTACCTGCGCTGTCCCTACTCATCATACCTCCTCCCCTGGTTGGATTGTATGGGCCCTGGGCAGGATGCCCTCTGAGAAGCCTCCCCAAGACCTGCCCACCACCCCCTTGCCTGGATGGCTAGCCACTGCTGCCCAGGGGACCTCAGGAGCCACCCTGCAATTCTATGGCTGCCTCTTCCCCCACTAGTCTACATACTCCCTGAGGACAAGGACCCACCAATCGGTCCCCTGCAGATGCCTCAGTCTGGCACACGGTGTAACCAGAGCAAGTGCTGGGCAAATGTTAGTTCCTGGTGCTTATTCAAGCTTGCCTGGTCCTTTCTGACTTCTAACTTGGTTTCCAGGAAATGGTCAGTGAGCTCTCTGTGCGAATATCATTCTGGGAGTGTGAGGGGAATCCGGGGATGAATGGTGTGGTGTGATGCTCTTGACAGACTGAAATGGAGGGTAAAGCCCCAGAAAGCAAAGCCACCGCCAGTGTAGAGCTGCCAGAAGGTGGGGCTAGCCCTGCAGTCAGCGGCATGTGACTGTGCACCCTTAGTAGCCTGCCCCTCGGTGACTGTGACATACTCTTTGTGAAGGCCTCACAGCCTGGTGCATTAGAGACTCACCTGAACAAGTCTTCCCTTCTGAGCAGGCCCTCATCTGAAATCAAGCATTTCTTTCTTTTTCTATTGAAGGGGTCACAAAGTGCAAATAGAACAACATTCTTTGTTCCTGGAACTGTGCCCAAACCTGAACTTTCCCCAGGGACAGGAACAAGCCTTGGCGCCCACTAACCTGTCCTTATTGACAGAATCGCCTGCAGGCCTGGGGCCGGCTGCTGCCACAGGCTCTGCGCAAGGCTTGGAGGCGCCGAAGGAGTTGGGGGTACTGGAGTCCAGTGGCAGTAGCTGCGAACTGCTATGAGAGGACAGCATGGTGCCCGCCAGGGAGCCTGAGAGCGGGATGCTGTTAAAGAACGCCGTGGAGAAGTCCCTGTCATCAAGCAAGAACAACAGTCAGCCTCGAAATCAGATGCCACAAGTACCTTATACATTCTGAACAACTTTTTTCTGGGTCCAAAGACAATATATTTTCATGGTGGAAAATTTGGAAAGTAACAGAAAAGTAAAAAGAAAATTAAAACCACTTAATACACTATATTTAATTGAATCTAAGATGCACTGAGAAAACAATGCTATTAATTTGTCAGATGCCATTGACTGTATGTTGCACCCCGGAACTCAGAGGTGTTAAGCTGTGCAAACATGTGCCATAGAGAGAATGAAATGCAGCATACAGAAAGTACTTCCCTCTCATTAAGGGTTGTAGGCACACCACTGACAGATGTACCATAATTTACCTAACCCAGAATCTACTGAGGAAGAACAGGCTGTCTTCCAGCCTTTTCTGTAACAGATACTGCTGCAACAGGAGGTAAAATATTGCAGTGTTAAGACTGAGGGCTCTGAGCCAGACCAGCTGGGTCTGACTCCTCTGCCATTTACAAGCTTGTAACCTTGGGCACTTCTACCACTCTGTTGTGCCTCAGGTTCCTGTCTGCAAAACAGAAAGTGCCAGGACCCTCCCCATGAGGCTGCTGTCACAACAAAAGTATCCAATATAGCACACACTTAGAACGCGTAGTAGCTGCTCAAAGATGCCTGAAATTGTAATAATTGTCATTACACCGGTTGATCCACATATTTACATGTCTAGGATAAATTCCTAGAAGTGGACTTGTAGCAGCAAATAGAATGTTCATTGATAACTTTTGAGAAATATTTTTAAAGTGCCCTCCTCAGAGGTTTAAATTACAAGCCATGTATGAGAGTGCCTATTTCTCCATACTTTTACTAACAGTTTAATCAAATTTCTTGATACTTAAGCAATCTAATGGATGAAAAATGGTATATTATTATAGTTTCAATTTGCGATTATTTTTATGTGAATGACAGTGAAATTTTCTTATATCAAAACATTTGCTTTCCTTTTTTTGTGAACCGTTCATGTCCTTCATCTATTGTTCTATTTGGTTATTGGTCTATATTACTGATTTGCAAGAACCGTTTACATATTTAAAAAAATTCCTTATGTGAGTAGGCAATATTTTCTGCAGGATGTCGTTTTTCAACTTTTTATTTATTTATTTTTGGTGGCTGGCTGATATGGGGATCTGAACCCATGACCTTGGTGTTATAAGGCTGCAGTCTAACCAACTGAACTAGCCAGCCAGCCCCATGTTTCAATTCTTCATGGTGTTATTTTTCCTTGCCAAAATTTTTTATTTTTGTGTGATTCTGTGTCACAAATTTTGTATCATTTCTAGAAAAGACTTTACCTCTGAGATTATAAAAATATTCTTCCATGGAATCTTCTAAAATTTTAAATAAAAATATTTTAAACAACACACACACACAAAATGTTAAAAACAAACTCTGAGCTGTTTTAGAATGTATCTAATTTTAAGTTGTGAGGATGAGATCCAACTTTGTTTCTGGAGGGTGACAGGTAGTCCTGACTCCCATTAATTGAATTAGCTGTTTCATCACTGATGTGAAATGCTTCCTTTAAAATTCCCATACATATTTGGGCCTATATCTAGATATTCCCCTACATTCCACTGCTCTGTCTATTCATGTATCAGTATTTTACTATTTTGATTATTATAGCTTACAAGTTTTAATTTCTGGTAGAGCTAGTGTTCCCTGATTAATCTTCTTTTTTCAGAAATACTTCAGCTATTCCTGTTTATTTTTTCATATAACTTTAGAACCACCTTGTCTGATTTTGAAAGCTCCTATGGTTATTTGTATTGGTTTATGTTTAATTTATAGGTTAAGAGAGAAGTGACATCTTTATGATGGTGAGTCATCCTAGCTAATCAGGGGTACACATTCCAGTTATTTCTTTGAGTTTTCTTTTAGGTATCTGAGTAGGGTTTAGAACATTTTCTTTACAAAGATCTACACTTCTTAATACATTCCAGGTATTTTATTTGTGAATATGATTTCTTCCTTTATATTTCTAAATGTAGTTGGTGCTACTTGATCTCATGACGAATATATACAGCCACCTTATTGTCTTCTTTTATTGTTTACAGCAGTTTTTCCAGTTGATTCTCTTACAGATCATATCATCCTTAAATAAGAATATATTTTTAAATTCTCTTGTCCAATTTATTCTTGGTCTTGACTAATTGCATGGGCTAGGACCTCTAGAACAATCTTAAATGACAGTCTCAAGAGTAGACATTTGTTCAGTTTTTGAACTTAATTTGATAATTTATCAAGTTAAGGAAGCATCCATCTACTCCCATTCAAGTGAATCAGAACAAGGTTGAATTTTATCAGAATGCCTCTTAAGCATCTATGGAGGTGACCCTATAATTTATTTATTGACATGTAGAATTAAATTAAAAGTTTCCCCAAATTTGAACCTCCTTGCTCTCTTGAAATAAACCTTACTTGCTCATTAGCTTTTTGACATGCAGTAAGGTTCTGTTTGTCACTATTTTATTTAAGATTTTTGCATTGACATTCAGAAATGAAATTGATCTGGAATTTTTATTCTATCTTTATGTTTTTATGTAAATACTATGTTCATTTCAAAAAAAGATTTTGCAAGCTTTCCTTCCTTTTCTATGCATTAGAATATTTTAAATAGTATTAGTGCTATCTGTCCCTTAAAAGTCTGTTAGAGTTTCCCTGTGAAGGCTTCTTAGTCTGGTGGCTTTTGTGGGGTTAACTCTTTCACAGTGTCCTCTATTTCTTCTATAATAATTCTTCAGTCTTAGTAATTTTATTTTCTTCAAAAATCATCCACTTTCAAATTTATTTGCACAGAGTTCAGCAAAGAAGTCTCTCATGCTTTTGATTTATTCTATATCTGTAATTATTTTCTACGTATAACTACTTTGAATATTTGTGCTGTTTTTCTTTCTTGATTAGCTAAGCTAATTATTACCTATTCTGTTGCTACTTGTGTGAACATGGGAATCAGGAGGGCAAAAGAGTCCTTAAGACCAAAGGAATAAAAAAAAAAAAAAAGAAAAGAAAAAGAAAAAGAAAAAAATAAGACCACAGGAATCAAGTTGTGGTGCCACAAATATACACCCTATGGATGAAAGCTGGCTCAAGGCCAGCTAGGAAGCCACTTATCTCCTCTGCTTCCTCACCAGATAAGGCTTGGAGAGATCCACAGTACAAAAGTGTCACCACCCCCACCACCACCTCCCTCACTCCCACAGGCCCAGCAGTTCAAAGCACATTCACACACTCGGTCTCACTTGGTCCTAATAAAAAGTAGGCAGGTGGCAGTACCCTGTAAGTTTACAATGGGAAAAAGGCTTAGAGGAAAATCTCTGTTCTGGGAGGAGTCAGGAGGCCTTGGAGCCTGCACACTTAATGAGGAGGTAGGATCAGCACATGGTATGAATGAAGGTCTCTCTTCAGGCTTCAAGGAAGATTTGGAACAGCTCATGGATGGACAACTGCAAAATGCAGAGGATTACTGTGTGTGGTCTCCATGAAGGACTTCCTGATGTCCTGAGCAGATCGACTGAATGAGTGTAAAACTCAGTGTGAACAGCCTTGAGAGTGGCAGTCTGTTTCTTTCATATAGAGCCCTATCATCCTTTGAATCAACACACATCGTTTTGGGGAGCATGACCAATACGAAAGCAAGCCTGCAGACGTTGAGACAACAGCAAATGGTGAATGAGTCTCCTTCCCCCTTCTTTGCCCCTCACAGGGAGATGTGTCTCACAGCCTTACCCTCCACCCAGCAATTCCACTTCTAGGAATTATCCTGAGGGAAGAGTCACAGGTATCTCAAACATTCATTTACAACCAAGAAAAACTGGACACAAACTACAAGTCCACAGTTAAGGGGCTGGTTAAGTAAGTCATAGTGCATTCATAGGACGGAAACCTGGATAATCAGCAAGCAAATGCTTCAGAGGACTATTTATTAAAATGGATGAATGGTGAAGATACAGTAACAAGTGGGGAAAAAGACTGAAAATACAGATATCAAAATATTAACAGTGACTATTCTCTAATACACTGGATTATGGATAATGCTTATTTTCTTTGTGCTTTCACTATACTCTAAATTTTCAACAATGTTTATATATACTTTTTATAATCAGAAAAAGGTTATAAAAGGAAAAGAAAGAAAAAAATCAGTCTGACTGCTTTCCCTATATGTCCTCCAGTGACCAGCCAACAGTGAAGCACGGTAGACCCGCTGGCCCTGTGAAGGCGCCCTGGCCTGCCTGCCATCTCAGCTCCTACCCCCACCCTCCACATAAGGGCTCTGGGAAGAACACGGGGCATTGAGGCTCGTGGAAAACTGGGCTCAACTCCCTCACTTCCACATATGGGTCAGTTGGCCAAAGAACCAGTGAAGACCCTAACTATGAAAGTGATAACTGGCAAAAGAAGAGAGGAAGACCTCCCCAGCTAAGGCCACAGAAAGCTCGGTGAATGAGCAAGTACCCAGTGTCCAGCTGTGCTATGCAGAGAGGTGTGATTCTTCTCCGACCGTCTGCTGTCCGAGTCTCAACTTGTTTCTTCAAAAGATTCTGGCAAAGTAGAGTCACATAAATGAATAAAAAAGTTTCTGCCAACTATCTCCAAATATCAAAAAACAAAGCTTCTTATTTTGTGTGTGTGATTAAGAAGATTTGGAATAAGATCTACCTTCTCAGCAAATTTTTAAGTGTGCAATACAGTATTGTTAACTGTAAGCACTATACTGAACAGTAGATCTCTAGGATTTATTTATTTTGTATAGCTGAGACTCTGTCTTATATCTCCCCATTTCCCCCTGTGCCTGGCACCCACAATTCTACTCCCTGCTTCTTTGAGTTTGACTACTTTAGATTCCTCACATAAGAGGTATCATGTAGTATTTGTCCTCCTGTGTCTGGCTTACCATTAAGTTGTACACATTAAATATGTAGATCTTTGTGTGTTAATGATACCTCTATACAGTGTGTTAAAAAATAAATAAGGCTTCTAAGGAAAGGTACTCTAACTTATAGCTCTCCCTACAGCCTTTCTGGTACAACTAAAGTAAACCATTGTGCTCAACTTCCTGCCCAGTAAAGAAGCAAGGACAGAAAGCTCCCAGGTGAACCACCTCCAAGCACCTTCCTCTCTCATCAGTTACCATAGACCTGGCCAGGTTCCCAGGTCAGTGAGCACATGCCAGGCTGGCCGCCCAACAGCCATGGGGTTCAAATAGGGAACTAAAGGGCTGATACATGTTCTATGACCCACATCTGTCACTAAGCCACTGATTTTCAAAGTGACTTTCATCAAAGAGCCCTTTCTTCTACGGAAGGCTCATAACCAACAGTTCCCAATCACACATTATGTCTGAATCACCTGGGAGAGGTTTTCAACCTGCCCAAGAAGCTCCTGGAGATGGCTTAAGTACTCCAGCTGATCTCAACATTTTTACCCTATTTCTGCCCCATTTCCAACCCCATACCCCCACCTGACAAAACGTGTATTTCCAGATGCAGAAGGGGAGCCCACAGAAGTCTCCTAAGGGTAGAGCCTGAAACCCACTGTTCTCAGCATCTAGAAATTCCTAGAAAGGCCAGCAGGCTAAGTTCGGGAAGTTCCTCCTCTAGGGCTCCCTGGAACAAGGAGGCCTTTAATAAAGGTGCTTCAGGCCCCATTACTGCCTCATACAGGTGCAGGCAATGGGACAACTGGCCCAGGCTGGCTGACCCTTGGGTCCCGCATCAGTTTCAGCACACACCCTTCTCACCACCACTCATGTCTGAGATACCATATCTGTGCCCTGTCCAGGCTGTCTGTGCCATGCACCACCTGCCTGTTCCCTTCATCCTGTCCCTGGGTGTGTGCTGATGTTCTCAGTGCCACCGAGTCAAGCCCTCACCTTCCTGATGTCTTCCAGACTCTCCCCGTTGACAACGCCTGCAACCGAGGCAGCTGAGCCTGTCTCTCTGGCTGTGGCACTCTTCTGATCCAGCTGCTGCTGTTGTTGCCTCCGCTGGTACTTGAGCATCTCAGGGTTCTCAATGACAGCTGTGGAGAGCTGGGCCTCGGTCATGATGGCCAGGCTCTTGCCATAGGTGGACTGGTGGATGCGGCTCTAGGAGAGCAGGGAGAGAAGCAATATGCTGGGTGTGAGTGCTAGCATGGCCAATACTGCCCACCAGTGGGCAAGTTGCAGTGCAAGCTCTCCTGGCTCTGAGAGTGGAAAAGGTCCCAATGCCAGCTCTCCCTAAAGTTTTTCCAGGGATTGCCTCCCACCCTATTTTACCTTTCCTTGACTAGATGGTTCTGCAGAAGTCTCATACCCTCCCTAAATGTTTACAGTCTCCTGTGTATCTATAGCTGGGGATGACAGTGAATGGTATGGCCAACAACATCTACTCCACAGTCTGGTGTAGAGCAAATGGCAATCAACGTGTCAATGTGGTCTCGACTGAAATGAGGACGCTCAAATTGCTAACTTAAGGCGCTTAAATCACTCCAAGGACCCCAAACACTCTTTGGGAATCAGATGTTGAGCCACAAGTCTGCTTTCACTGCTCTTGTCCACAGATGTACCCCTATGGTGGGAGATCCCCATGGGCCTGCTAACAGTGTCTCTAAGAGCGAGGGAAGGCTTGGCACAGCAGACTTGGGGAGACCCTTCTCTGCTTCCCCACTGTCCCTCCTAACGTGTCCTGTCTTTCTGAGCAGGGGTCCTCCCTCCCATCCTTCTGGGCCCTATTAGTCCTGTGACATAACAAGGTAGACAGGAACTCTATGGGAGTAGGGACAGTGTCCCCAGCACACTGCAGTGACTAGTGCTCGTAAAAGTGTGATGAAGAGCAGACGCACACTCGGATGTTCAAATGACCAATGAGGTACTTTTTCCGGGAGCAGAGACTGTATTAATAGGACATCTGCTTCATACCAGAGGATGCTGGGTAGGGGGAGGCAGCTTTTCAGGAGAGGTATCTGTGACTTGCTCCTGCAGGGCCTGAATGTGGCCAGGAACCTTCCTCCCTTGCTATCTTGGCTCCTATCCCTTCTCTCCTGAATCTATTCCCTGGAATCTTGGGACAGAATTCAGAGTTTGGTCAAAGTTCCCCTAGTGTTCCTCAAATATGCAGTCCCTGTTTGTGATTTGGGAAATGGTAAGCTAGACGGGGTTATTACACAGACTCCCACAGTGACTCTCCAAGGGAGTGCATGGCAATCCCAGGTACCTGATGACAGTGACAAGGTGGGAAGTCTGGGGTCACTGAAATATTCATTCCTTCACTGAAAAATGACTGATGGGTGCCAGGTCCCATTCTAGGTGCTGTCAACAAGGCAGACCTCCTCCCCCAAGGGGTTTATATCTCAGTGGGGGTGGTCACACAGTAGTTTAAAAGGCAGCTTCCATGAGCACTAGTGTCACTAAGGAGAGAGCTGCCAACATTCTTTGGGATTTCACAGAGCTCCTTTTAGACAAACAAATATATACCACTAAGTGTTGGCAAAGGCCTGTCTGTAGAAACAGTAAATTTCTAAGTCTATGGTAAATAAAGCAGAGCCTTTCCCGAAGCCCTTGCAGAAGGGCACACAGATCCCACTGCCTCATGCACAGGCCAGAGAGGAGAGGAGGCCTGGCTCAAATGCAATAGGCCTGGGTCATGCTTTTGACCTAATGGTCACATATGGTCTTGGCAAAGGGCTATTTTCTGAGCCTTAGTTATCTCAGTGATGAAACAGATGATCCCCACATTGAAGGGTTCTGTGAAATTTAAGTGGAATAATATATGCAAAGCACATGGCCCAGAGCCTGGCATATATTATAATCACTGCTATGTCAGTAAAAGACAATGGGGAAAGTGATGTGAGCAGGAGCCCTTGGGGAGTCACTTCAGCTCTCTCCCAGGGTTAAAACTTCCCAGTGGGTATCCTATTATGAGTTCAAGAAGGGATGCCCAATATAGTTTTATTCTTAATTCCAGGACTTGTTTCTGACATGAATAGAGACTCATTTTTAAATTAATCTATTTTGTAAAGAAGATAAGGATTACAAGTTATAAAAGGTGAACACCCCATTATACTTTAAGAAACGATGCATCTGTGTATAAGAAGAGGTTCCAATCGCAGGGGTCTCTCAGAGGTATTGTGGCTATTTCTGTGGCCCCAGAGCACATAGGCCACCAGCCTACCTTCTCCTCCTCGCTCAGTGGGTCTCCGAGTTCATCCTGGGAGAAGTCAAGGAATGCTACAGAACCATCCATGGAGCACACCAGGATGCCCAGCCCATTCAGAGTCCTAAAAGAGACGGTCATCAGTAGCCTGGGAGCGAGAGCCTGAGGCAGCCACCCACGCTTCAGTGGCTGGCCTGTGAGGATGGTGGGGCAGTGCTCTAGGGAGATACTGAAGACCCCTGGTTCCCTTCTGTGGCCTTGGTGGGGGTGGGTTTCAGGGGTGGGGGTGGGGTGTGACAAATGCATCCCAGAGGGCCCTCAGTTCTAAGCACATGTACAAAGCATTTGCTAACACGTTTTGTACGAATTTCAATTTTATTTATCTTATTTTTGAAACCATTAAAAAAAAAAACTTGAGGAAGTATGTATCTTATTAAATAAGGTCACTGAGCAGCAGAAAGTGTGCTCTCACTTCGGGTTACGTAATGACAGAGAGTGAAGTGGAGCCCCCATAAGACCACATAGCTCTTGTCTCAGACAAATCCCAGTGTGTCTGAGAAGGCATTTTCCAGTGGCAAATCCTACTCCAGGCAGGACATTCTCACAACAACAGGCACAAAGCTGCTGGTTCCTGAATCATGCATAGACAGCACCCTGGGGTCTGTGCTGGCTACGATTCTCGGGGAGGGTCCACTGGCCACCTGACCCTAATCACATCTAGGAGGTCTCATATTCCAAGGTGTGCCTTCTCCTTTCTCAGCCTAGTCACCATAAAAAGAATCCACCTTACCAGGAAATATCCATGATGGATTTGTCAAACAGCTCATGGATGACAACCAGTGGCCGCTTGAGACACGTGAGCTGGAAGGAAAGCAGCAGCAAAGGTTAACTGAATTACTGAAACACCTTTTTTACACTCCACCCAGATAACACTGCTAGCCTAGAAGCCTTGGTTAGGGTTTCTGCTGACATACCAGGGTACTTCAAAAAGTTCATGGAAAAATGGAATTAAAAAATATGAATCTTTCCATGAACTTTTTGAAGACTCCTTGTGTAGGACATATTCAATGTTATTCATACAGCAACGACAAGATCCCAATCCATGGAACCCAAAGCCTTCCAAAAATGTGCACCCTAGAGTGGCCCGTTTCTAGGGCTTGCTCCTGCCTGGCAGGGGAGATGGCTTTATACATGGACAACCAGCAATGAAGAAGGCAGAGTGGTAGGGGGTTCTGGAAGGACTATGATCTGAACAGAGGGACAGGCCCAAAGCAGAGCTCACAGAGGCTCTAAGTTGTGGAAGACAGGATGCCAAGGTCTGGGATGGGATGAAGCAGCTTCAGAGAACCCAGCACATCCTCTCTGGGCCCAGGGAGCTCTGCTACACATTTATCCATGACGTGGTTATAACCAGTTACATAAGTCATACAAGTTCAGGCTCATTCTACAGTGTGTGTGTGGATAGTACAGAAACACATTCCGAAAGTTATATTAACTATATTAACTATTATTAGTACATTGATGAATTATTTTCTTCTGTTCTATCTTTTGCAAATATTTATTTTATCCTTCAAAATAAGGCATTTGTTTATAACTACTTTTTCATTTAACATGAGCATGTCATTAAATATCCTGCAAAAATCTGTTTTTGTGATGACTGCATAATATTCATCATGTGTATATTCACTATCTAGTCACTCTAATGTTGAAACATACACTGGCTCCAAGTTCCCATAAGTTAGCAAGCCCCATCTCTCATACACAAGTGTCTGGCCACCCTGACGACAGGCCCTGAGCCACAAGATGGTGGGATGGGTGGGAACACACTTTTTCATGGGACAATGGGCTCCCACAGGTGCTGCTGTAGCTTCTGGGAGCCTGTGCTGCAAAGCCTCCTACCCGCAGCCTGAGACTATTGTGTGGGAAGAAAGGAGGTTTAGACATCCTAGTCCTGGGCTACTTAGAATCTACATTAAGAATCTTGCCCCCAGGGCCGGCCCATGGCTCACTTGGGAGAGTGTGATGCTGATAACACCAAGACCACAGGTTCAAATCCCTATATAGGGATGGCCAGTTAGCTCACTTGGGAGAGCGTGGTGCTGACAACACCTAGTCAAAGGTTAAGATCCCCTTACTGGTCATCTTTTTTTTTCTTCCTTTTTGTCTTTTTTCGTGACCGGTAACGGGATCGCAACCCTCAGTGTCGCGCCCGTACCACGCTCAACCAGTGAGCCGACCAGTCTCTATATGGGGTCCAAACCCTTGGTGGGAGCGCCGCTGGGCTCCCAAGCGCTGCACTCTACTGAGTGCGCCACCGGGCCGGCCCCTTACTGGTCATCTTTAAAAAAAATAAAAATAAAAATAAAAATAAATCTTGCCCCCACCCTAATTTCACTTCCAGAAAAAACAGCCTCGCCCCTCCTTCCAAAAATATGCCTACAGACCTCTCAGAAACCTGGAGCCTATGTGACCAGCTAACCTCAGCATTCTAAGAAACACAGCACCATGGTCAGTGATGTTCTGGTTGCAGCACATGAATGGAGCCCCATGCTGCCCATTATGGCACTGATTCAGGTTCTAAAAGGGGTGTTAAGTAAATACTGGGCTTAAAAAAAGCCCCACAATATACACAGCAATAGATTCTTCTGTAACAAAGTATAAAAAATGCAGCCAGAGATAACCTTCAAACACACAAGTTCAAATCCACTGCTTATGAGGAAATTTTTTTCAATTAAAAGATTTTAATGCGTGTGCACTTTGCTTTAAACAAGTCGGTGCAATGCTCAGCAGCAAGGCCACGTCCCACACTGCACATAACAGTGTCTCCTGCTCTGCAACCATGACAATCTGAGGCCACAGAACATAAGCCTTTAGCAATAAGGAACCTAATACTTCCTCAGGAGCCCTAACTTAGAAACCTTCACAGTTCTCATCCTTCAGTTCTCAACCATGAATCCATCACTGAATATTTGCTGAAAACCTGCTCTGTGGAAGACACTGAGTTAGGAAGGGAAGGGGTACAAAGAAATTTAAGATGCAGCTCCACCTCCCAGAGGTTGCTGTCTAGTGAGGAGCACAAGACTCACAGCCTTATCCATCACAGTGTCACCTAAGGAGTTTAATGGACAAATAAACGAAGATACAAACTAACTACAGGTTAAGTATCCCTGATCTGAAAATCTGAAATCCGAAACTTTTTGAGCACCAACATGATGTTCAAAAGAAGTACTCACTGGAGCATTTTGGACTTTGGATTAGGGATGCTCACAGTATGTATTCTGCAAGTATTATAAAACTTGAAAAAAATCTGAAATCCAAAATACTTCTGTTCCCAAGCATTTTGGACAAGGGATACTCAACCTGTATATAAAGAAGTCAACACTAGGAACTTTCTGCATGTCTTTATTTGTAGACATAGCACTTATCTGCCTTGGTTATATACCTAGGAGTGGAATTGCTGGGTCATACGCTTACCTTTATAGAAACTGCCAAACACTTTTCCAAAGTGCTTGTGCCAACTTAAATGCCCATCAACAATGTATTAGTTCCAGTTAACTGTATCCTTGTCAACACTTGGTACTGTCTTTTTTTTTCTCCAGTCATTCTATTCCTAGGTATGTACTCAAAAAGAAATGAAAACGTATGTCCACAAAAAGACATATATAATAATGTTCATAACATCTCAAAACTGGAACAACCCTAATGTCCGTCAACAGAACGCATAAACAAACTGCAGTATATTCATACAGTGGAACACTACAAAGCAATAATAAGGAATACACAACTGCGAACCACAACAACACACATGAATCTCAAAAACATTATGCCAAGTCAAAGAAATGCAAGACACAAAAGTAAACACTGCACAATTGCATTTATATAAAATTCAAGAGCAGGCAAAACTTATCAATGTGATAGAGGTTGTTAGAGCAGTTGCCTTGGTGGGCAGGGCAGGTCTTGATTGGGCAGGGACAAGAAGGGGTGTTCTGGGCAGTGGTGACACTGGTGTAAACATATATGACAATTCACCAAGCTGTACCTTTCATGTGGACACACGTCATATGTGTTGTATGTCAATACAAAGATTTTCAAACACTGCATACCAACTGTGACACTGACCACTGAGGGTGCTGCCTGTGTCTACACACAAGAGCTGCTCTGGCTGAGCGTGAGGTTGGCCTCTCCTGGATAGGCACAGGACCAGTCTTCAGTGCTTCCTTCCAGGATGGCAGGAGAGCCTGCGGGCTTTCGAGTCGGGGCTGACTCCAGGGATAGGGTGGAAGCACACACTGAGCATCACCCAAGGCAGTGGGTCTCTCCTCCCTTCAAGGCCTCCAGGCTTGCTACCTTCCCAGCCCACACCTCTTGCCCTGCAGCAAAAGCTCAGGGTGGCAGCTCACCCAGACAGAGAGCGAGCGGTCCTTGCTGCCAACAGCACAGCAGCAGTACGGGCAGCTGGGCTTTGCAGAACTCCCATTCTTCTGCTTCTTTTTGAAGATTTTTGGGTTGAATTTCTAAAGCCAAATAACAAATGTTAAAATAATTAATCAAGCATTACTCATGTACTCCATGCCCAAGCATTAGAAACATACCAAAATCTCACCTTGCCAGTGGGAATCCCCCCAGATATTCTCTGAGCCCAGGCATTCATTATTTCATCTTCATAACCACCCATGAGGCATTTGCTGATGATGAAATGTGGATTTGAAGCTACTGAAACTGCCATCTCAGTTCCTCCTGGTCTGGCAGGGACAGCCCTAGAACCTGGGGGGAGCTAAGCCTGCAAGGAGGCTTCTGGAACAGGGACCTGCATACTTCCCATCTCCTAAGGCAGACTAAGGCAAAAGGGTCTGACAGGAGAGGACTGATCCATTAAATTCCTTCTCCTCTCACTGTATTTGTTGTTGACAGTAATAACTAGTCTAGCAAAGATCTGCTCAGCCTGAGAGGCTCTCATTATCTCACTGGGCCAGGGACGATGGCTACATCACCCAAAGGTTCTCTACTGGCTGCTCAGTTCAGGGAGCTACCCCCCAGTGTAACCTGGCTGTCACTTTTGGAAAGGTTGGAAGCATACACTTAGCACCCAGCCACCTTCCTGGATGGAAAGGGAGTCGGAACTCTTGGAATCCCCAAGCTAGGATAACCGAGGGCAGAGGAAGGGCGGCTCCTTAGACCCTGGTGTCAGGCGGCCTAGAGGGGTTTTAACTCCAGCGGGCAGGCAGGAATGGCTAGGGGTGCACAGAGACCAGAGACCATGGAATCTGGAGGCATGTATCCCGGGCTTCAGTCCCCACTCCTGCTGAATAGGCTGTAGGGCCTTGTGGAGCTCCATGGGCTTCCCCATAAGGCAGGCATCAAGACTTTAAAGTGGTTGGTGAGGATCACATGAGAGAATCATGGAGAAGCACTGTGCTAAATGAGGCAGTGATTTTTCAAACATTTTAGCAATAAGGCCCTGGTTTCAAACAAAATCCTACACGGACTCCAACACAAAAATTAAAGAATCAGTATTTTATTCTTATAAAATTTATATTTTAAGGTGCAATATATGATATTTATTATCAATTTAAAAACAGGTAATGATGAGCCCTTTTGATCAGGGTTTTGGATGATCCTTCATTTTTTATCAACCTTGAGGCCAGCATCTTTTGTTTATTTTGTTTGGTCGCCCAGTGTTGGGAAAATCCTATGCTCACCAGGTAATGATGAGCCCTTTTGATCAGGGTTTTGGATGATCCTTCATTTTTTATCAACCTTGGGGCCAGCATCTTTTGTTTATTTTGTTTGGTCGCCCAGTGTTGGGAAAATCCTATGCTCATAGGTTATTTACAACTGCTTAAGAGCTTGCCTTGGACACTCTCAGGACACACTTTAGTTAGAGTCACACAGAAGCACAGAAATAGCCAATATTTCAAGCCTGAAAGATTAACAGCAGCTCACATCTCTGGCACTCTTCACCCTCCATAGTGAGATTGGGCAAGCAGCTCCTGACTCAGGACAAGCACACCAGTGATCCACAGCACAGCCTTGCAGCTACAACTAACCACTGCCAGGGTGGGGACAAGCACACCACTCGGTGTGCACACTGTGCTTGAGTACCCATTAGCAGACCTGAGTGTGTCCAAGGCTAATGCAAAGATATACTATTCCTAACCAAAGACTGATTTTGGTGATATTCACCACGTTAAAGTTTGCCCAAAAAACAGGCATGAATTCTATTTCATAAAATTGGTTTTTAAATGTTTAAACATAAGTATTCAAATGAAACAAGAATCAAGATGTGCTCAATCTCAGAACCTATGGTTTCAGTCCCCCATGTGACCCAGTCTTGGGAGACTCCCTGGGAGAGTCTGGCACTACCCAGGCATTAAGGGTACATGTAGGCTACTCAGGGTGGTGCTAAAAGCTGGCTAGGACTTCCAGAGGCCAAGCACACTCACCACAACGGTCACAGCTTTCCGGTGCCCAACGAAGTCCATGTTGGTCTTCCAGCCCTCCCGTTCAATGATCTGGGCAGTGGGGCCAGAGTTGTTCATGGCGTGGGCAGACACCAAGTAATGCCCGTCAGGCGACCAGCTGAGCCGCAACACATGAGTTGTCCCTCCACACTGAAAGAAACACCTGTGCTTGAAAATAGCCCAAGGCCAACTTTATGACCAAAACTTTGGCCTCAAGGATAAAACTGAACTCTAATTAGCAAATGTATAATGATAGAGTGTGTACCCCATGCTTCTGGCTACACTGACAGCTGTCACTCCAGTCTCTCCAAATGGCCCAGTGAAAAAGGGCTCTCTGTCAAATGAGTCTGGGAACTGCAGCATCCTACACTCCCCCACAGGAGCTGACCAAAGAACAACAGCACAGAAGCATAGGCTCTGAGGAGACCTGTGATCTGCAGGAAGGCCACCTCTCTGACCCATCAATGCTGTATGGGCTAAATCTATTTTTTTGTTTGTATTTGGCAGCTGGTTGGGACAAGGATCCATACCTGCACCCTTGATGTTACAGCGCCGCCGCGCTTCCCAAGCGGCGCACCATCCAGTGCGCCACCGGGCCGGCCCCAAATACATAATTTCTACTTTCCTCCTGCAGCCAGCCCTGACCAGTGGGTAAACACCTAGTCTTCCTGCAAAACTTCACTCATGAGTTCGTTGCTCCGAGAAGCCTTCCTTGATGCAATCACCCCACTTGGGCCATTTCTGCACACTCTGGACAACTCCATCACCATACTTACAACTGATGTGAATGTCTGTCTTTCCCATTGTACTATAAGCTTCAAGGGGAGAGACTCCATCTCAATCCACTTCTATTTCTTTTTACCCAGGACTGCCTTACATATATAGGCACTTAACAAATGTCTAATGAATAACGTGATCTTGAGCTCTGATTCCAAACAAAATCATAACTCAAATAAAGGAAGAGACAGTAAAATACTACAGATGCCACTGTAGTCTGATCTCCAAACACTTTGCAAACCATACTGCTAACTTCACCTGAGAAAAGTTGTCTAGCCTGCACAGCAGACAGCAACAAGCAAAGGCACACAAGCAGAGTCAGGAACAATATAAGAGAGAGTCTCCTCCATCCCCTCCACCCACTCCACCTCCAACAAGGCACTCTGTAGGGCAGCTCAATGTCAACTCCACATTGTTAAGAAACAGTTTCATCCATGTCTGTGGCAGTGAGCTGGGTGAAACAATGATGTGGGGACATCTCTACAGCTTTAAGGTTCTCTTCAGTTTTAAAATCTGCACATCTTTTTCACTTCACAGTTGAAAACTTAACAGCTTCTCAGAAATGTACAATTTCCATCTTCTGACTCTTAGGGCCAGAGTGCCCACCCTAAAGAACCCTGACTGGTCTGCTCAGGCCCCCAGACTCTGTGTGTTCACCCACGTGGTCTGGACCACAGCCAGCTCTCTCTGTGCACAGAGTTCTGTAAGGAGCTGGGACAGCTGCTGGGGTCCCTGGGCTCCCTGGGCCATCCCCAGTTACCTCGTCAAAAGGCTTGGTGATGCTGGTCTCTAACTGCCAGTCTAGTGTCCTCCACACCTTCAGGCTGCGGTCGTCAGCTTGAGAGGCAATGTATTTACCAACAGGGTCCCAAGTCAACCCTTTCACCAAGCCAGAATGACCTCTCAGAGTAGCTAGAATTTCTGTGAAGAAAAAAATAAAAGAAAATTGGAAAGGTATTACCTAGGGGAAAACAGTGACTCTACGGAGAAAATGTGAGCTGGACATCCAAGAGAAGGGACTTCAGGAGTCTGCTTTGGCCAGCCCCTACCCCTGGGCACAGGCAGAAGGGCCCCCTAATTTGATCTCCACCAAGGCAAAAGCAACCTGAAGAAATGAATGTATCAAAGAGGCAAGCACTGTGGGTTTCCCTTCAGCTACAGCTAACACTTGCAGGTTGAGGCTGCACATGCCCCCCATGTGTGGGGCAGGCAATGAGGAGCCCAGGCTTGCGCCTCAGCTGCCAATTCTGCTCCCATTTCTTGTCTGCAGCCAGTGGACCTGTCCACGGCTGCCCTTCCTGGAGAGAAGCCTATGCCCACCTGGGCTATGATATCAACACTTCTACAGTGAACCTCCCTAGCAGCTCCCTGATAAAGAGCAGGCCTTAACAGCTCAGGGGGCTGGGCACTGGCTGAGTGAGTCTTTTCTAAGTCATCCCTGAAGACAAAGATGTGCACGAGAGCACCTCTTACAGATCTGTAATCCAAATGCCACTCTGGTCTCTAAAACTGTCCCTCCCATGGCCAAACCAAGTATCCTCACACATGCTAGTGTCTTTCAAAGAGAGTTAAAATGACCTGGACCTAAGTCCATGGATGAAACATTTTAGCCCACAAGGAAAATATACTATAGATACTGAGCAGGAATATGAAAAGTTATAATCTGTAACACTATGCCAGGTTATGCCATCTGTTGTGACTTTAAACATGATGAATAAGAAAAATTAACTTTTTTGAAAAACTGTATTTGTGTTAGCTCACATCTGCTCAAGAGCTTCAGAGGAGATGACAACTGAGCTGAGGCCAGAGCCCAGTGGTGGGAGGGGCATCCAGCATGTGTGGGAACACCGGGCACAAGTTGGATGAGGGCCCCCAACACCAGTTGTCCTTGTACCACCCTCATGATTTGTGGTACATGCACACCAGAACTCAATTACTATTTTCTTTAACATAAACCTCTTTTTAAACCTTAAACAAATGTAACTCAGAGAGAGAAAAAAAAGAACTGGGTTACTGACAAGACACATAAATCCCAGGCCACTGTGATACCCTTGCTGCCACCAGGAGTAAGGAGACAGAGCCCATTCCCAGACTCCAGACACTGAAGCTGGCATGTGGCCCATTTCTGCCATCAACCAGTCAGAGGAAGACCCCAGACCTGGGAATTTCACAGCGTTCCAAATGACGACAGTGTTATCCACGCTGCATGAGGCCAGCCAGGCATCATGGGGAGACCACGCTACATCCATCACATCTGGAATAAGACAGAAAGCTTTTGGTGAGATCTCTTACCTGGCATGCAGACTTGGGCTAGGGTGGGCACTAAGCACCATCCCTGTCTGCTAGCTGGGCCAGCCATCCCTGGGGTTCTCGTGTCTGAGGTCACTTGACCTGGGACCATCATAACTAGACTTTTTTTTAAAGCAACTTGAGAAAATTCCCCACTAAGACTTTCCATTGGTCATAAAATTTAAAGCATCTAATTAACCCCAGTGCCTTAGTCCTTTTACAGATGAAGTAACTGAGGGCACAGTTGAGAACTTGGGTGGCATGTGGCATCACACCCATATGTTAGAACCACGGCCTTCCTAGGTCTTTGGCCATGGGCATGTTCCTCAACTCTACTAACTTGCTTTTCTTATCCTAACTGGGCCTTCCTCAGAGAGCCTTCTGACCACTAGACATGGGTGATAAAGCACTTAGCAGAATGCTTGGCACACAGAGCTCAAGAACTGCTGACAAACTGAACGAAAGCCATCTTCTGGTCCTTCTGCTGAACTGGATCTTATCTCCAAGGGACACCCCTTCCCTATGGAGCCCCCAAACAATTAATCATGCTCATTTCTTTGTGACTCAGTCTTCTCATTTGTAAAAGGCAGATTAAAAACAAAAATCAAAAAATTCTATCCTTATAGGGTTATTGTTAGGATTCAATGTGAGGAATTGCTCTAGCATAGGGCCAGACACACACCAAGGCATCGACAAAGGTCAACTGTTGATACTGATGGCAAACATGCCTATCTTGCCACCGAGGTGTGAAGGGTGTGATCTTATTTATTTTTCTAACTTCAGTGCCTGGTGTAGTGGTGGGTGTATGGAAGAATAATTGTTCAAGAAACAAAGCGGTAAGTTAGTAGCTATGTAGCCTTTTCCCCACAGAATATTTAAAAGACATATAAGCAAAATGTTCGAAATTTCTATTGCACTTTTTCTAGTTTAAAAAATTTTCAGTGACAGCTTGACGGATTTTTTTCACACTGCACTGCACTTTGTAGTTCACACTGTGTATGCACTAGCATGCTGTATTTAGTACACTAATCGCCTGTGTGATCTTCACAGCTTCTTTTCATTTTTGCTCTGCCTTCTATGCGTTGAGAACATTCACTACCATAAACAGACCTAACTTAACATTGAACATTGACTGCGTTTCAGTTTTCCATGCTAACAAACACATGTGTATATGTCGCTCTCTACACTCTGGATTATTTCTCTGAGACTGATATCCCAAAGTGGAAATCTGGGCACAATATCTGAACCTCTTCATAGGCCATAGACTGCTTTTTTTTTTTTTTTCGTGACTGGCAATGGATCACAACCCTCAGTGTCACGCCCGTAAGGAAATCTGGGCACAATATCTGAACCTCTTCATAGGCCATAGACTGCTTTTTTTTTTTTTTTTCGTGACTGGCAACGGATCACAACCCTCAGTGTCACGCCTGTAACGGACCGGGACCGGCAACGGGATCGCAACCCTCGGTGTTGCACCCGCACCTCGCTCAGCCAGTGAGCGGGAACCGGTCTGTATGTGGGATCTGAA